GAACGAAACAAACTACTACGCAGTAAACCTATCCTTACTGCGCAGCTGTTCGTTCCGTATGTCTCTTAACATAAGCTATATATAATACCAATTAGAAGCGGAATACATAACAGCAGAAGACTAAGAAAGTCGAGTTAAAGAAAACAAAAAAATAAAAGAATGGAATTATGAATTTTAAGAACCATACCGACTGTAAAGGACAATTAATGGGAGAATTGCAAACGAGGCATTCAATGTATGGTTTTCATATTTTACGAAGATATTCTCTAATTTTGTATGAATTAATAAATTGGTTGTCCTTCAACTAAGTCTTCGTTCACTACACTACTTCTACACTTTCATATGATTCATTTTACTGTTTATGATTATTCACTGTCGAGCATAATTTTAAAACTAAAACTTTATCAATCAGAAAATTATTTAGCAATTGAATGATGTAATAGAAACCAAATATTTATGCATGATTATCTCTAATTGTTAAATATCAGTTAAATATTTATTGTTGCTGCTAAGTATTTAAGGTTTTTATGGTTATTCTCTTAAAAAAAACAACCAAATGTAACAGCAATGATTTAATTGTGTACTTCGCTTTACTACTATTATGTATTTAAAGCTAGTAGAATAGTATGTTTGTAAATATTTACATAAAAATAAACATACTAGGATTCAATTACCACTTTGCAGAATAATATGCTCAACTTTGATACACGTCTTTATTGTGTGAGCGTTCATGTCACTACTACTCATCTATAAAAATTAAGCGGAACTTTGTTCTAACGTTTTACTTAGTGGCTAGAGACCAAGTGATTTTAAGTACTCTGAGGTTGATTCACTCATTTTACTAAGAAAATTTCCTTCAAAAAGTTTGATGTGTTGTGTCACAAACGCCAATATTTGAGTTTAACTAGGTAGATGGTTAATTTTACCCTTATACTTACATAGATTATGTTGAAACGGTTGTTCTCGGTCAGTTTACTGCTGGTTTCATTCCATAGTTCTAGGTCAATATTGTCTAAAAGATTGGGACTTCCAAACAGTTTATTGACTTTTATCGCTTTCGATTCATTGCCCATCCAGTTTACTTTCTTTTTCCCTTAGAACACTTGACATTTCTCTCACAATATTTTTATTTATCACTGAGTATGGGGCAGTGTTCTATGTTACAGTAGTAGAGTTGGACAGATAAACGTTTTTCCTTATATCGGCGTCTAAGCTACTTCACAGGCTGTGCTAATCCAGTTTCTACTTTTGTTTGTTGTTTTCTTCGGAAGTACTTTAATAGTTAAGGATAGTTTTCAGACAAATTTATTATCTACATTTTCACAGTGTTTTATATTTGGCCATTTCTATTCGCATTTTATAAATTTTCCTATTTAAAAGAAGCATAATTTCATTATTCTTGTTATCTTCTGAATAATGTCAATAGATTTCCTAGATGTTGTAAAATGTCCCAGTAACTTATTGTTTGCATCAAATCTTTTGTTATGTTTAAAATGGAACTCGAATCATTGCTTTCATTTGGTTTAATTAAGAATTCTTTATTCGTGTTATTATTTACTGTCTTTTAAACTATTAACTAAATTCATTTTGATGATGTCCTATAATACACTTTTACATATCTTACATTCTACATGCTTTGATTAGTTTCGTTCAGCATTGAAAACATTATACAGTGATTTCTGAATTTCTAGTATATACGTCAACATTTTTTGTAATATTATGTGGAGAGTGGTAGACCTTGAATGGTGTATAGCAGCGATATGGGAGTATATTGCTCCGAATTGTTCATAGTTGTTTAGATATGGTTTACTTATCTTCCTATTCTCTCTCCATCATATCACAGCTTGTTAGGTGGTCTGAACTAGTCAACAGGAAACCCTTTCCGAATTACATTTCGTGCTTGTGAGCACTCGTCAGCAAGATACACGAGTAATCTTGCGAGTACTGATGCTCCCTGTTGGATCAACACTTAAAGGACTAGTAAAACTTGATAAAGGTCACTGCTCAGTAATAAATCTTTTGTGAATGTCATTCTTTCAGAAAGTATATCTCCTGAGTGCATGAGGTTACACCACAATTGACACTATCATTTCAACTTCTGTGTCATTTAATTTTGATATTTTATTTTCTCACTGTAGTTTGTATGAACTATGAGGAATTCAGCCCGTTTGATTTCTGTAAAATAGGTTTATCATTGTTTCTAATTGTTTATGTCGTGAAAAGATATTTTTTGAGAACTTGGGACTTCAACGATCATTCAATAGAGTTTACATACTTAGTCTTGGTTCAAATGTTTTTAATGCGACCTCATAGTAATTGCTGTTACTCGAGAAGATAGATTATTATCATACTTTCGAAGCACTATAACTAGTGTATTATGGTTATATAATTCACAAAACCTATGCAGTCAAAGCTCTCTTAAATGAAACATGTAGACTGGTTTGCTTAACGAGTAGTGTCTTAGGTTTAGTAATCGTTTTTTTGGAATTTAGATGATTAAGGGAAATGAATACCGTTTTACAGTGTTTTCAACCAAATTACTGTACTTGTAGTTTTTCCAATCTGGATATAGTCGGTTACTTTATTTGTCAAATCATTTGCTTTAAATGATTTCGTTAAAGAAACTGGCTTATTAGCATTGGGTGTTGCTGATGGTATCACCGGCGTGAGTTATAATGCGATTATCTTTAATATATCTCAGTAATTCAAATATGTCCATAGAGGACGATATTCTGCCTCTGTTCACTCCTATTTGGACTTATAAATTTATCGGCTCATGTGGAGCATATATATATATATATATATATATATATATATATATATATATATATATATATATATATATAGGGAGAGAGAGGCAGGCGGTTTCTGTTCAACAGTGGAGACAATCAAACGTCACATAGAACTTGTGTTATTTTGAGTGTTTCTAGTCTTTTAGTCATTCTAGAATGTAACTTTGTTATCATATGCCGAAGGTCCAAATTGTATGAAAGAAGTGACCTTAAAACTGTGAAAGTTATGACAGTTTAAAACTGTGTAATTGGAAAACGCCTGTACAATTCCCTCTCAATTAATAATGTTTTTATGATGAAGATTACCGCTCTATTGCTAATAATTCTCATACTGTTCATTATCCTTCCCATATCATGGGTAATTTACTGGTTTCTTTTTCAGTTTAGACCAGTGTACTTAAAAATGTAAAATTACCTAGGTTATCGAAATAATAAGTCTTTATCTGATGACTTATAGAGAAAAGTACTCCTCTTATCCATATTACAATCATCACATACGAAATTTTAATGGAAAGATCCAATTTCAGTCACCACAACAATAATTTCCGGATTACGACTTTATTTTTTATTATCTAAGTTCGATTAAGTAAGTAATCGGTAAAATTGTGAGAATCAACCACATGAATCAATCAATTGTCTATTTCACTCAAAACCTGTTTTACCTGTAAACACTAAACTTTAATAACTGTCGAAATTTTTTCTTTCTTTCAACAAGTTAATCACATATTTTACACTACAACAGTATCCTATACTTTTCAAGTTATAATGACCACTTTTAAAACCACTTTTATACAACAGCAACTATATTGTTATGCATAAACTTTGTTCATCATTTTAATAATATCGATAAATATCGTCTGTTTTCTTTTGTTTGTTTTTTTTCAACCGGGTAAAAAGAAGATAAAGATTTGTCGCATTAGAAACACAACTTTTACATTCATAATCATTGGGTTATATGGACGGCATGTAACGATACTATTACTGTCTAATTTCAATATGTTACACCGCTGTTGTATGTTTTTTTTCTTCTAAAAGTTAAACTGTTTACTTCACTTGTCAAATTATTTTATTAATTTCTAACATGACTAGTTGAAGTTATTTATGGTAATTTAGTCTAATACGACTATACTGTTTACCTTCATTCAGTATATATATTATATACAACTGATGAGCGTTACCTACTTTGTTTTTAAAAACTAGTGTACAAAATGCAACTATTCTTTTTGATTTTATTTATATACATGTAAATAAATAAAACAGTCCACCAGAGAAGGTCGGAAACAATGTGTAACAGTTAAAAGAAAAGAAAACATTGATAAACTGAGGTCACTCTTCATATATACTTTAAACTTCGGGTATTTATTAGTAAATAAATATGATAAAAGATCACAGACTAAAGAATAAGTTTAAATTTCATCATCCCATATATATATATATATATATATATATATATATATATATATATATATATATATATATATATATATATGAAGGCTTCTCATGTGTAGTAAGATCCTTTCCAACATTACAATGAATATAATTATAAGTTTAAAAATCTAAAAATGAAACCAATTAGTGAATTCATTTTTATTCTTTAAGTTTGATCATTTTTATCTTGTTCCTAAAGTCACTGAAGTTTCTACTTAAATGGTATATTTAGTAGTATATATATATATGCAGACGAGGATGATGTGTAATATGTTCAAAATAAAAACGAATTAATAAAAGTTTTTTCTTTTTATATTTATTTAATATTTGTCTATTGCTAATAGTATTCACAGTGTAATTTAACCGTAGCCAAGAAAGAAACAAAAAATAGGACAATTGAAAAGTAACATGTCGAAAAAGAAATCTTCAGATTTAAGAAACTGAGTAAAATAAACAAACAAACAAAGATTATTGTAAATGGAATTATTGTTTTTGGTTTCGAACTGCGCTCTTTCTCTTCTTCTCTCTCTCTCTCTCTCTCTTTCTTCCTTTTGTACGTGTTTCAACAGATAGAATGTGTAATAGAACATTTCCCAATAAATGCAAGATAACATTCAATGGTACAGATAAACATTTGTTCAATGAACACTGTTTTGTATTATGCTAAAGTATTCCATTTGTTGTAATATTGACATATTGTTGAAAAAGAAAATCACAATTCTTGTAAATTAATTAAGTAGTAACCATTGGAAAACTTTATACTACTTTTAGTAATGATTACTAATCAGTAGTGAATTTTGTTAATGTTTTTTTAAACCATGGAAATGATAACCATATAAAATGATTAAATTTAATTAATTGTTTACAACATGGTCCAGTCATATGTCCACCACCCATTGGTCTCATTACTTCACGATTACAGCATGATTTCACATATTGATAAAATGTTGGTTTAATAGTATAATTATTTAAAGCATAATTTATTGATTTTTTAATAATGAATAAATTATCTAATTTACCTGGTTGTTGATTCCATTTCATTATTGGTTGAATAGTTTTCATGATTGTTTCAATTGTATTATCATGTGTCATTGATAATTTCTTGAAGTTTTCCAATGAATCTATCCTTCTAAACGATGATGATGATGATGATCTATGATATGGAACTGATTGGATAAGCATAATTAAACCACTAATATATGCCATAAATAATAATTGACTGATTGTCTGGTTCATCATTTTTCAATATAGACACTTATGATATGTTTGAGTTAATAGAAAAAGGATAATGTATTTGAGTAAAGTGTCAATCTTTCGACAATAATGATATATATATATTTTCTTGTTACCGTGGTGAATTAAGTGTCAGTTTTATATATCACTTTTCATAATATTTCCAGGTGGAATTTTCTCTGAACTGTTGTTATCGTACTCACACTTATGCAGAAAAAAAGAAACCCGTTACTTTTTTGGTACACTTATGTTACTTGTTTATTTAAATTAGTCAGTGAACATAATTAGTACGTTTTTATAGGTTTGTATGACATAATATCATTAACCGTGGGTGTGTGAAAATAGCATATTTTCGTTTTCAAGGTCGAAGTTTTTAATGAACATATGATTGGTTACTTTTTGGTTGGTTCAAATCTCATTTTATTGAAATTACGAACTGATATAAGTTAGACAACCATTGAAAACCTGGAAGTAGTAGACGGTCGTTTCGTTTTAGTATAGAAATCTTCAACAATATACATCTACGACCGATCAACCGGGTAGGGAAGAAACTCTCATCCAATGCTTCCAGGTTTTCAATGTGTTTTTTTAACGTATATCGGTTTATCATTTCAATGAAATGCAGCAATTTCCACAACCCTATACTCATAGTTAAATATTATTTGCTTTGCTTAATAATTAGTCTGTTCATTAGACATCATAATTATTTGATTTTATCATAAATTAAACTGAGAAGTACAACGAGCAGGATATTTCCCCAATTCTTATCCCGTTTAAGAGAAAAGATTTGTGTTACAGAAAATACTACTTAATTGACTAATATTTGACAAGTAGTGTGATAACCTTTTTGGTTGTTTAATGACATTGACTCCTTCTACAAATGATCAATTATTTTTTTATTTGATAAATAGGTTATAATAACTATTATCTTGGCTGACCATTTTGTCATTTAGACGATAGTTCTGTGTTCTAAAATGTTTAGTTGATTCTATGCTTAAAATTACCAGTTTAGCTATTTCAATTCTTTCCATCTTTTATCAGCCAATTATGTTAGTTTCATGACGGACAAGGTAGATAAAAGTGTATCATTATTATTTGTTACCGCACATGATATAGTTGTAGAGTCAAATTCTGAACAGAACATAAACAATATTTTCTTTTAAAGAAAAGTGTATAAATCTAAGAATGAAACAACTGGGATTAGAGATCTCTATATTATTCACTTAGTAAATTATGTAACAACCAAGTTTTGATAACAGTTTAGTTGTCGAGTGTGCTTTGGTAAATATAGAGATTATTTGATTATGATTCAAATATTACTATAATCCAGATTTTGTTTTAATTATCAGCATTATCTTAAATTCAAATGTTGATTCGTTTTAGGTGATTGTAATACTCCGTCTAACCAATTTCTGCTCTAAGAACATAAAGACGTTGACGCTACCAGATGTAATTAGTACGCTTAGTTTATGCTACCATTGTATGACTGTAATATTTCATTCATATTTGCTCCAGTTCATATAATAACAGAAAAAGGTGCATTTGGTTTTTGTTGTAGAGCTTTTCCTGTCTCTTCAAATGATTCTATTCTTATAATCTCTTATAGTCATAGTACTTTTTTGATGAATCAACAGCCATTTATTAAATCATATATCTAGATTGAAGTTAACACTGAAATTCAGGGTATGCGTTTGATCATATTTCGAACTCATCAGCTAAATGTGTCTACAGTCCAATATTGATCACCATACTAAGATTTAGACCTACTGTAGTATTTCGTCCAAACGTAAACGCATTATCCACTGAATTCCTTAGGACATTTTACCATTTAGTCTTTAACCCAATTACATTGTCAACTCGTAATAATTACAAAAATTCCACTTTTGGTATTTAAAATAACAGAAACAGTGACAAGATAAAAATAAGCCTTCACAAATGAACATTAATTTGAATAGCATATATCATTTGGCTATTACATTTATGTAGGTGGATAAATTAATTCATTTTCCGATAAAGTAAAATGTCTCCTAATTAGCACATATTTACTCTATTTGGCATTTTATATTCATGACTCATCATAGTGTTAACACATTAGTAATTATTGTCTTGTTACCATTATCACTTGTGCGTAATATGTATATTATGTTGACAAGAAATACACTTGTTAAATGGATTATTCTAACCATATTTACTCTTTATCTATTTTGATTAAAAATACCGGTAACTAGTTTGTATTCTTTTTGTTTTGAATAAATAAAATTATAATTTTATTTCTGTTTTAGATTACAGTTTCAGAGTGTACAACATATAGCAATACTGGGTTAGTTTCACTGTCTTTACAATTGAAATTCTTTATGAGACTATAATTTATGGACGACCTTTGAGCGATGTTAAAGTGAACTTGAAAGTGTCTACCTACTTATTAGGGCTAAATGAAGGTTATAAAACAGTTTGAAGAATAAGGATTATGATTCATAGTTGATGGTTAGGGTTAGGAATTAGATGTACGGTTTTTTCATCACGAACTGACATCAACTAAAATACCAAGACGTTATTTGGCTTAATGGGCAGATGAATTTTGCGTCAAAATCCAAAACCTGTCATTATAAATCTGATTGGTTCGTCCATAAATTATAGTCTCGCCAAATTCTGTATTTTATATCACGAGCCCAGAACCTTTAGGGCTCGCTATGAGCGTGTAACTTTTAGACCATTGAGACGACATCCAACGGGTAATGTGTCTAACTCCAATCAATTAATTAGGTATGCATAACTCTGAATACCGGATCATTGGTCTGAATTTTAAAGGCTTACTAGTACACTTGAAGGTTCGATGGAGTCTTGAATTCACTCTTCTGAAGAGTTTTATACAAAGATAAAATGATTGTCTAATGATTCCTGATTTTCGGAAGTTTTCTAATTGAAATCATTCTGTCATGTAAACAATGAAACTTAACAATCTTCATAAATCCTCTACTGCCATTTGCAAATTCGTATTTACATAATCGAAAACCGAGAAGTTTATAATTCGTTAAATAATATTTCAATACTTGTTAATGATTATTTCCAAGATAGATATCTTGAATTTTTAACACGGTGTAAATTTGCTCAATGGATTCAGTCATTTAAAGCATATAGATAGATAGATGGCTACTAAGTACACCTTTTAATATTTACGCCAAATTAAGAATTTTCTTGGAATCACGAAATCTATATTAGTGAGTTCCTACTCATCGGTCATATGAAAAAGTATTTGACTTCATCACTTCCAGTCTTCAGAATAAAACCAATTGAAGTTGTAGATTTGCCATACTAAGGTGTTTAAAACAAGGAAAATGAATTCTTATTCCTTTCCGATTATTAAATTGAATATGGTATTTTGTTCAAATCTAATAAGATGTTAGTGTTAGTTAATTAAGTAGGTCAAACTTCATATTCAGATGTAGCTCAGGTAAATGATTTTGATGGAGTTATGTTTTCTGAGCTAGATGGTTTGATCGTGGAACTTTCGTCGTTTTTCTGAACGACATCATCAGTACAAACTTCAGAATGAGCTATGAACCATATATGGAGAAATTCGAACACTTTACTTTTACCTGAAATTTGTGCTAATGATGCCATTCAGAAGAACAACGAGAGCTTCATGACCAAACCATCCAGCTCAGAGAAAAAACTCTATCAAAAACGTCACATTCTTTTTGGTGGAGTTTCGTTCTCTGAGCTACAAATCTTCTCCACCATCTCAAAATCATATGAGCGTAATACGCTTCTCGTTGTTCGAAAATGGGAGAATTTCGCCAAAAGGCAGGCTTCCACTCGAGAACAACTATATTTACTCCATGAGTGTCTTCGCCAGCATGTTCTACCAACAAGTGTAAGATATAGACCTCCAATCAACTGCCCATTAGGATGGAAAATAGCTGAGCAAAGTGGAAGAAAAATAGTGCACGTAATGATAACGGATGCACACTACAGAATCCGCAAATACCAACACGTCATAGAGCACTTCTATCTGAAGTTTGTGCTGATGATGTCGTTCAGAAAAACGATGAAAGCTCCACGGCCAAACCATCCAGCTCAGAGAACAAAACTCCACCAAAATCATCCACCTGAGCTACAAATCTTCTCCACTTCACATTCTTCACCATTTTAAATCACACTATGTACCATTGATAAAGAAAGAAAACATATTAGATTCTCTTTTATTCCCAAATGTTTTCTATACTTATCTCGTTGCTTTTTTTAACTCATTTATTATTACTGGTGATAATTATTATTGAGGATTGTTTCTCCTGTAAACTGTTAATTAATATTAATTGTATAACTCGTTAAATTATACATTGAAAATGTAGTGATAATTAATCGACTGACTGACACCTTGTTTAATTTTCGAAAGTAAAGTCATAATTCATTGTTGCTAATTATTCTTTCTATTAAATTTTACGTTGGTTTTCGATAGTCATTGATAGTCACTATAATTTGTGTGAGAAATCGTCTGATCTTATAATATTGGCTTATTAATCTACTACCAGTAATATGTAATAATGGTTCTTTTCTTGTCTATCTATTGATGATAACTAACTATGAAGCACTGAATAATTGCTTCATATTTATTTATTTATTATTTGTTGAATTACTGATACGAAGGAGCTCTTAAATATATATATCACACAATGCTGTTATCTTTTAATCTGTGTTTGGGCTGGGATTCTCTCCAGGTACCCAAACCGAATCAGGTGTTGTTCTCGGGAGTTTACTCCGAAAGTCTTTGATCTAAAGCTTAACTTCACAAGGTGCCGGCTCAACGTTAGGCGATGCGATCTCATGGAAGGAAGTGGTAACCAAGATTAGGTTCATATTCCATTTAGTTCCTCAGGACCAGGACGTTGTAGCACATGTGGAGCATTGGTTTTGGATTAGGGTTTTCCAACTCCTCTTGGTAATTCTTCCGTACCCACCAACCCGATTCAAGCACTGAACATTCGCTTTTGTCTTCTCAGTTTCGTAAAAAAGAACTGTGTTTGAAAAGGGTGTGAGTGTAACCTTCTTGGTAGTGGCTTTATATGCGTATCCATATGAAAGCATTTGTAGAGGGAGAGTGTTCTTTCCACACCCTCGAACATACCAGGGCATTTTAGGGTCAAATGCCAACTCACACTTACCAATATCTTACATGATATTTATATTATTTAGCGAGTATAATACCATTCAGCCTATAAATTAGGATTTGATAGTCACCATTTCTAAATTCAGTTAGTATTTGTATTCCTGGCTGAAATCACTTCGCGATTTCAATCTTGATAACACGAGAAACATAGATCTAGTGCTTACTGTAGGTTGCTTTTCAAAGCCTTAGATATTACTCTGATCTAATGGTCTAGATAATATTAAATGTGTATAAGGGTTGGATGCCCAACATAATTATAAATACTTAATATTTTGAGTATACTGAATTTTCTATTCACTTCTCTACACTTTTCTACGTGTAATGGGAAACTATCCGTTGGTCTCTCTATTTTTCTTTGTTGACGTTACTGTCTAGATTTAATCAGTCTTTTTTGTTATACATGGATCATGAGCAAATAACCCCATAGTGTCAATTTATCATAAGTTCTTGATAAACTAGGATGGTGATCAGCAGTTGAATCTAGAACTCACATTTCGTCCCATCTGTGACTCCCCAGATAGATATACCCACATCTTGGTGGTGATGTTGACTAATTAATTGAAGTCCTTAATATCAACAATGAGAAAATACTAACCCTCATTAAATAAATTTATAGCCGTTATCCAAACTGTTGGCTTGATAGATTCAGTAGTTCAGTTGATAACATATTAACATTTGAAGTGAAAGGTACTTGCTTCGACTGTCAATATTCACCTCAATATTAGGATTTTGGTAAGTTCAATGGATAAATTTGAATTAGGATGAAAAACGCATCCTGGATTCTGTTGCTAACCTCTGTCAGACTTTACTATGTTAGGTTGTAATTAAAAGAACTTTTCAATTTTATTTTATAGTGTATCATGTAAGGTTAGTTTTATTTATTATTATTTTATGTCCTGTGATATTGTTTATTCATCTATGAATATAAATTGACTTCTGTCTCCCTTTCTCTCTCTTTGTAATGTTTACAATCTTGTAAAAAGTGTATTTATTTTTGTATACAAACCAAATGATATTGTGTTGTAGAAATGTATCAAGTTTTCATGGGAACATAGGATAGTTGTTTTGTCATAGTTTAAGATCTTATATGGGTTGTTTTCTTTAAATCAAAAAGAAGATAAAGTAGTTAACTAAGAATGGCAATCGGAATACATCTATTCTGAGTTAATGAATTCATTATTGTAGATTTTTCACCTGGTTTTGTCTTTTGAAATATCTTACAGTAATTCCGAATACGAATCATTAAAAAATCTTTATACGAAACGGGATTTACGCGAACCAAATAGATCGGATGATTAACGTACAACACTTTCACAATAATCTCTGTAGTGATGAAAAAGCAAGTAGTCAAATCAAAAAAAAAACTCGAACCGAAATAGTAATAAACCGATTCTGTTTATGTGGCAATAACTCTGACCTTTGAACACAACAAAAATGTCGAACTTAATCAAAAGATAAACAGTCAGTGGGAAAGGGTTAATGAGGTTATTTTTACACATCGAAACTACCATTTGTTAAGAAAATAAAGAAAGCACACCAAAAAAGATTCCGTAAAACACAGTCGAATGTTTACTGTTGTTTTTCTGTCTGTTCAACTATTTAGTGTCAATAATGTTTAGTAACTAGGTACCTTTGATGATAACTCGTTTATATTAATTTTATATATTTAATCGTATTCATTCAACCAACTTGTCCAAATAATGTATTATCAATTTGGTGGTATTTATTAACATATTTCACTGGAATAAATAAATATATGAACCTGTTCTTATCATCAGCTAATATGGTAATAATTCAATCCAAGACTTTGTTACTTTGTCAACTAAAGTTTCCTTATGGATTGGATTTATCTCTTTGATCTGTGCATTAAAGTGATACTACTTTTTTTTTACCACATATGGCTTTATAAAATAAAGGGATCTTGTGATAATGTTTCACTCTTTCTTCCAAGAAACTATCAAGAGTATGACATTACTGTTTGATAACAGAAAAGATATTTGAATTCTAATTAACCGGTTGTTGATCTTTATCGGCTTTTAAAGTTTATGGTTTATATCATCACTATTCAGATTACTTTATCAAATTTGTTAGAAACAGGTGGATATACTATTTAGATGATTCTCTTATGTTCTTAGTAATTTATTCATCTTAATTTGATTTAGCTCTCGAATTAATCTTTCGCCTGAAATAAATTGATTTACTATTATTTTCTTTCTTTGCTTGGAATGCTAAATAATAAAACTATTATTGAAATATCACTAGTTGAAATTAAGAGTCAGTTGAAGCTAGACCTCCATGGAAAACCTGGAGGCATTGGACGGTCGTTCTGTCCTAGCATGGGACTCCTCATCAGTGCGCATCCACGATCCCGCCCCCCGCGAGGTTCGAACCCAGAACCTATCAGTCTTGCGCGCGAGCGCTTAACCATTAGACCATTGAAATATACAAATCAACATCATTTCTTTTAAAAAAATTTAATTTATACTACTAAAATATTCTTATAATTATGTCATTCTTATTGATGTTCAGATCAACAACCTGTTTGTTTATACGCTAGAATATCGTTCAACTGGATTTATTTATTTTTCATATCAGTTGCTGCTAACTTGTAGTTGGTGAATACAATTAATAGGGGTTTTTTTGTAATATGTTTACTTTATTTATGAATGTTTTGACAACTATCACTAGTTTAACAAATGGAATGTGGAGTTGAGTTAAATCTTTTCAAGAAGAATTGACTATTGTAATTAAGATTAGATTACACTCAACATTCATTTACCTTAAATATTATTCCAATTTAATGATAACGAAACATGTAAACACCTCACCTACTTTTAGATGGTTTACCAGGTAAATTATTAATTTGTGTATAAAATCACGAAATTATACAAAATTTTCAGTAACCTTACTTAGAAGTAAATTATAATAAACGCCGATATCTGATCATTGGTAAATCAGTTGGTGAGGTTGTGAATCTTCATCGACTGAGATGGTTGGGCCCCGTGTTACGTATGCCCGAACACCGATTACCACGACGTGCAATGCTAACCGGCGTTCGGGATGGTTGGAAGAAAGTTAGGGGCGGCCAAACCAAAACGTGGTATCAGTCCACAAAGTCACTAACTTCTAGTCTGAGCCATATTATTAAATGCAGACTACTTGGTTGGGGTCCGCGTGACTATCGTAACCAATGGTTGGAGACTCTTGGTGACATGGCTCAGAATCGATCACAATGGCGTCGGTGTATACACTCTCTATCTTCCCTTAAACTAAGAGATTAGAATCGCTTCATATCTTTCTTTCTATGAACTAATTCTTTCTTCCTGTACTATATCCTTATATGCAATCTTTCTTTTATATATTACCACCTCTGAATTCACTACTTTTATGAATCCGGTGTCCATCTTGTTGTGTTAATGAGGTATGGCAACTTGGACCGATGCATAAATGTGCCTGTTCCTACGTTGTAGCTGACTGACTGATATCTGATCACGTATTCATCAGCAAGATTAAGTTCAATGCAAATTTTCTTCCTTTCTATCCGATGTTTCTAGCTGACAAATTTCATCAGATTTTGAATAAGAAGGTACTTACTTACACCTGTTACTCCCAATGGAGCATAGGCCGCCGACTAGCATTCTCCAACCCACTCTGTCCTGGGCCTTCCTTTCCAATCCTATCCAGTTTTTGTTCATTTTTCTCATGTCTGTCTCCATTTCTCGACGTAATGTGTTCTTCGGTCTTCCACTTTTCCTTTGTCCTTGAGGATTCCATGTGAGGACTTGCCTTGTGACATAGTTGATTGCTTTCCTCAATATATGCCCTATCCACTTCTAGCACTTCTTCCTGATTTCTTCCTCCACAGGGATTTGGTTTGTTCTCTCTCATAGTAGGTTGTTGCTGATAGTGTCTGGCCAACGGATCCGAATTATTTTACGTAAACAACTGTTATTAAACACTTGTGTCTTCTGAATGATGGCTTTTGTGGTTTTCCAGGTTTTCGCCCCATACAATAGAACTGTTTTGGGTCATGGGGTTAGCGACCCCATCCCGTAGAAAACTAACTCGCTAAAGAAGCACTAACCAGAAAAAATTATTCAAACCACTTAAACTCTCCCCTGGAAGTCAGAAGATCTTTATTTAGAAGGGTTATGACACCTCATAGTGAAAGCCGAGTTCCTTCGGAAGCCACGAGGCTGATACAATTATATATTTTCAATACTTATCTAATTAATATCAATTCGTAATAGAAATCTTTTCTTTTTTTTTTAATTTTCAGATAACATAAATGATCTTATATTGAATCGATATTTTCTTGAACAATAATGCCTAATTTCTATGATCGTCTTTCATTCTCTGAATATATTTACAGAATCAAATTAAAAACTATATTCAACAATAAAATATACAAAGAGAATAATCATTTCATAAAAGATTTATCATTTCATTCATTAATACCATATTCACAATTACATAATTTTGAATCAATGACATTTTCATTGGATCATGAAAATGATCTGAATTATTATGATTATAGTAAACATGTTATCATAAACACTGATATGTTGAAATGTATCAATCAATGTTTATTAATAACTGATCACAGTAAATATCAATTAATTTCTGGTATCAAATATAGAGGTAAAAGTGAAAATGAAAAGAAGATTCTTATTTTGTTTTGAATTTTAATTTAGTTTACTCTTTATGCTTTGGTTTTTTTTTCTAAAATGATTAACATCAGTTAGGAAGTCATGTTGTAGCGACAGCGACGTCAAATGTAGTGAAGGAGAACACAGGTGAAGACAACCGAATTATGCTCAACACAACATTACAGAGTTACTTGGTAAAATAGAAAAACCGTACTATAATATTTAATTTGCAAAATGTTCAATAATTGTCTCGAACTTCATTGTTCTTGCATTTCCATACTAATTTCTTTCTATTCCCGTTCTTTCTTTTTTGATCTTCCCCCATCTTCTGCTGCCAGACATTACATTCCTGACTCGCGCTATATACTACTTATGTCAATATAAGTAGCACGCAACACAATGTTATAGAATAATGTTTAAGTCTTAAAATTCATTGTTTATCATTAACAAGATGTAATTAGATGTTTCATTTAGAAGTGATCGTTTTGATGTGAATAGTTGTCAAAAGTTTTATCATGCTATTCTAAAGTTTGAATTACTACTACCTGACCATAGCTGCCACCTTGATGTGGTGGTTGGGCTTGTTTATCGTGATGACTCAACCGAGCTATATTGTCTGGAACATATATTTCTGTAGGTTATACCATGCCAGGCAGGTCGATTGGAGAACGGTAAAACTAAAAGCAGCAACTCAAGGTCTAAGGGCGAAGTCGTACTGCTGACTGTAGAGGAGTGTGACAACAGTAAGATCTTTCTCTTGGATTACCAGCATCTGCAGCGATGCTACCTTTTCAAAAGGAAGGAAGGGGTAAGAAAAGATCGACCCTAAAAATGTCACACCTCACCTTACCTCACGGCTCTCCGCCTCCGGCGGTAAGGTTTTTTGAAGAACGGAGTAACAGGTTCAATACTTCCCACGAAAAAGCTTTGTGCGTTCGGCCTCAAGAAGTTGTCCTTTGGGTTCTGCGGTCATCCTCCCAGGTCGTTAAGACCAACACTAATCCGACTTCTTTTCCATGTTTCTCAAGAAACACCCTTCCACAGTGTGGGTAGCCGGAAATCGACATCATCCCTTATGCCCGTAACAACACACGAGATCAAGTTGGTCACGATCAAATCCTTCCTGATGGTTTTGAGTGCTGTCGGAAGTATGAGGGCGGTTATCACTTCCCGGTTGCCCACCCTGTTGAAGGGTTGTCTAGAGGAACCTGAATAGGATTAAAGGTGGTCTTGGAGACCTGAGAGTGTGAACGCAGTGCCCAAGGGACAACTGCTTGAGGTCGGTCACACACGGCCTTTTTGTGGGTAATTTTCGTGTTAGCTCCGTACTTGTTGAGACCTTACCGACGGGAACGGATATCCATGGGATAAGGCGAGGTGTGCATTTTTAGGGTGGACGTTTTCTGAACCTACCCCTCCCTGTGGGGAAGCAGCATCGCTGTTATACTGGTTGTCTGAAGGAAACACTCTAATGCTGTCACACCTCTGTATAGTGCGACTTCGCCCTTAGACCCTGTGTTTTCTGCTTTTAGTCTTATTGCTCGTCAACCGACCTGTCTGGCATGGTAGAACCTTGAGGAACGACTGATCCAGCCAATATAGCCCGACTACCATGTTAAGGTAGCGACAACGGTCGGGAGATCCATCCTTTTTACATACTCCAATAACTCTCTTATCTCCACGACTAACCCTTCTCACGTTCCTTTATCATCTCGCGCCGCTGATGCGAACGATTCGAGTACACTTAACGATATTCCTAGTCTCCTGAAACGACGCTCTGAACTGCATGTAGGAGCTTTTAACATTCGAACACTGCCAATAGGACGATAGGTTTCCTTAGAAAGGAGTTTAGAATCTCGCGCCATCGATGTGTGTTGCGTCTTTGAAACGCACATACAAGATCCGAGTAACGTCATTCATTTGACCTCACCATATCAAAATAAAGAACCATCTCGATTCACGCTTCGTGCATCCGAAAGCCCTGATTCTCCTTCCTGTGGCCTTGCTGGTGTAGGTATAGTATTGACTCTTAGGGCAGAACTAGCTCACTTAGAGGTTATCAATTTGAACTTGGTAAGCACTTTTACAATTAGAAGAGATATGTGATAAAAAAACACTTACCTACTAAACTAACTAATAGACACGAATTATTTGTTACTTACCAAACCATCCTGAAAATGTAAACCGTTAATCAAACAAGCGAGTCAACAAACATAAAGTAATAAATGACACTATTAAAACCTTCAAAGACAACTATTCATAAAACAAAATCGTCATTGTTAACTAGATTAAAGTAATTCAGTAGTTTACTTATACGTGAAACGAGAGCTAATGATGTTGTTCATATAGACAATAAAAGCCTTACATTTAAAATAATCATTTCTGAGAAAACAATTAAATGAATTACCATGGGACGGCATCTCCTTACGTCTCTCCACTGCCCTGTGAATTAAACCTCTGGGTCAAAGGTTCGAGTAGTGGCCCCCTAAGGAAATCACCTGTTTCGGTTGGTGCAGCCGGCCAGTATTCTAGCTCTCACAAAAATCTAATGGTACGTACGTATTTGGTGCTTCTTTCTACCAATGCTTTCGTGTTCGAATAAATAAATAAAAAACTATAAATATGAAGTCACTAAGAAAAATATCACAATCTAAAATTGATTTCCAATTTTAGTTATTTCGTTTCTTGAATAAATCATGTTTTAATCCCCTTGTTCGGGAAAGTAAAGGATAAAAGAACGATTTGTTGATTAGGTTTGTTCTTTGCTTCTGTAATCCAAGTTTTATCATCTGATGTTCATTTGTTTTTTCGGATTAAGTTTAATTTAATTCATACAGAAGATATTTGAGTAAAGGGCATACCCTAAGTGTGAAGTCTAATGATTCTATTCAGTTGCCCAGACTGAAGTGGGTGTGGCGGGTTTATGAACTTGTTAAAGTCGCGTTATATTATTGTTCAATATCCCTTAAATTCTAAATTATTTTCCAAGTAATAGAAACAAACTTTCAAACTAATCATTTACAAGTAAAAACAAACCACTGTATTATTTCTAAAGTCTATCACAGACTGATTTGCGATAGTCAACCATTGAGATCCAAGATGCACTAGATACCTGTCCTGTCTTAGAATGAAATTCCTCATAAATCCGCACAAACGATCATGCAAGCAGTCGAAATTAAAATAGGAACCATTGGAATCTTACTCGTTTATCTGAAGGTTGACCTCCCATTGTGAGGTCTGTAGGCCCTAGATTCGACCCCAAACGCGGTTGTAGATGTACATTCTTGAAAAGTTTCATAATAAAACAAAACACCTGTCTAGTACTTTGTAATCTTCAATGGTTGTCTAAACAAAATCAGTCCATAATATGGAAAATTTTAATTCCACAATCTTGTCAACATCCATTAGTAACAATCATATTATTGTTGTTTTTTTCTGTAAAATTCCAGTTTATTGGTATCAACTTGCTAAAAGTCAAGAATTTCTTAAATGCCTAATAGAAATAATACCCACTGGTTATGGTGATCCATATTTTCAAGAAATTGCTATGATAGTATTGACAAACATATGTATACTTGCTGGATATAAAACTAAATAGTGAGTAATATTTTGTTTGTTTTTTCATCGATTTCCCGAAAAAAACCATTTCATCATATGATAATAATAATGATAATATCAGATGGATTTTGTGGATATTATAGTAATTTCAATGGTTAAGATCATGAGTCACTTGAAATTACTATAATATCCAAAAACCCATCTGATATTAATCAACATATGCTCACTACTGACTGGCTTCACGAGGCATAACCTGGAGTTCTAGTGAGAAGTAGTGAACAGTGGAGTTCAACCAGGTCTGTTGTGAGATAGTAACTCACTGAAGACAATGGTGAATTTCGTGGATTAGTTGAAGTGAGAAATTAACACCGTTAGATGCCGACCAGCTCAATGGTCTAGTGGTTAAGTGCTCGCGTGCGAAACCACGAGATCGTGGATGCGCGCTGCTGAGGAGTTTCACAAGAGGACGAAACGGCCATCCAGTGCTTCCAGGTTTTCCATGGTGGTCTAGCTTCAACTGACTCATGATCTTAACCATTGAAAATAATGATAATGCAAGAGTTCGTTCCAAAATGTTTATAATATTCATAAGTAATCGCTTTGTGATCTTAATCGAAATCAATAATCTCCACAAGGCCAAACTGAAATGTAGGTAATGAATTGAGTAACTAACTAATCAACGTAAAATGTCAAGTTATAAAAAAATGATATGTTTTTAAAACAATTTAAGAAAACTTAATGATTGAATAAAAAGAATAAAAATGTTGCAATGAAAAGAATTTTCTTTACGACAATATCATCTCCTTGAGCTATACAATCATATTTATAGGTACTTTGTATGACATGTAATAGTCTGTAAGAAAATAGAAGTGTGACATCAATAAATAAAATCATCGAAGCTAGTCGGGAAGCAAACGATTTTCTAAAATTGTTTGTCGAATTTTATTCAACCCATCATCAATTGTATAATTTGTGAATATTCGTCTGGCTTTCAAGAATAGAAAATGGATTGAATTCCTCTTCTTATTCAGAGGCAGATAACTCTGGAAATTTGTATAATGTACACTTCATGTTGACTTTCTATATTTCTATAGTTTTAGAAATTAATCTAATCTTCATTTTGGTAAAATATGAAAATGAAAATCAGAAAACTCAAAATTATGAATTGTTCACTTTGCAAAAAGTAGCATACACACTTTTCAACTTTAACTTAGGCAGTATTAATTGGTTCATGTTCTATTAACATACTTTGATTACTTGAATTTATTTGTGTAGAATGCAGTTTGAATTCGTGAAAATGTAATTACTAAATCAATGACTCCACAATTTAATGAGATCGGTTACATTTAAAAGTCAGTATTCATCTCTTAGCACTAGTTATGAAAAAATAAATATATTGTCGGTGGTGTTGCATATTTTAAACTGGAGGGCTCACAGTGTTGTTCTGTATAAAACCTTCAGCGTTTCCTTCAGTTGGAAGCGAGTTTCTTTTTGAAATTATCCTACAAATACCAAATCACTCCGTTCTGATGTTCTTGTCTGTGGTTGTCTGTCTCCGCATATTTCGTTAATTTCATTTGCTCTTTTATTCTTGTTGACTTTCTGGTTTGGGTTGATGAACTGGATATATCTGTTGATTGCCGACTGTTCTGAATGGCATGATTCTAGAAATTATCCGTCCATAAAATCATTAACTGATGAACTGGGTTGTATCGTTACGTGCAGACCGCGTAGTTAGCATCCTTCAATCAGTCAGTCAGCCACAACAGAGGACCAGGCACATACATGCATTGGTCCAAGTTACCACATATCATTAGCACAGCAAGATGAACACCGAATTCATTGAAGTAGCTAGTTCAGTGATGGTAATATATAAAAGAAAGATTGCATATAGGGACATAGTACAGGAAGGAAGACATAGTTCGTAGAAAGAAAGATATGAAGCGATTCTAATCTCTTATTTTCAAAGAAGGTAAATAATATATAGACCAACGACATTGTGATGGATTCTGAGCCATGTCACACAGAGTCTCCAACCATTGGTTACAATAGTCACGTGGACCTCAACCAAGTAGTGTGCATCTACCAACATGTCTCAGACCAGAAGTTAGCGACTTTATGAACTGACGTCACGTCTTAGTTTGGCCACCCTAAGTTTCTTCCAACCATCCTCTACACTAGTGAGCATTGCGCGTCTTGTTAATCGGTGTTGAGGTATACGCAACACGTTGCCTAACCATCTCAGTCTGTGAAGATTCACAACCTCATCAACTGATTAAACATCATTCCCTAATACCTTGAGTCTAACCCCACTATTACTTATGATGTTCTCGATCTGTAGTTGGTTATGTTAAGCAAAATGGTTTGAAATCAGTCACATTGATCTACATTCATTAATTGTTTAACTCTATGCATTTCTTGAGTTCTGTTATTTTTTTCATTCATACTCTTTCATTCTGTCTTTTCAAACCATATTCTCAATGATTAACCTTTTTTTGATTTTCATTAGTCTAGTGATTCTTTTACTCTTCATAATTTTAAATTGATTTAATAAGCTATTTACTACTTATTTGTACTACTTTTTTTCAAACTAATATTATTCAATTTATAACCAAATAAATCGGTGGGGTTTTTTTGTTTATTATTCTCTATTGTTGACACTAATCATAAAATGAATATTAATACCAGGTTAGTAACAAACTGTAGAGAGAAAAAAATATTATATCACTAAATAATTGTTATTTTTAACTGTTGACCTAAAAATAGGCACGTTAAAACTATGCACATATGTTTTAGTCTCAATATGTTTATACATTCCATACATAACCAATAAAGATATAACAAACAGTGAATATATATATATATATATATATGTATATATCTTGACATTATGTTTATCCTATATGTAATTCTTCTGTGTATCTATGGAATGTTTTCACGTCCTGCTTATTTTTTTTACCCCCTATTCCAATACAAATAGAGTTTGTCTCTTATATACAAATGTAATTTTCATGTTTTTTTTCTTCTTCCAGTATATTTTATTTCTCTCTCTCTCTCTCTCTCTCTCTAAAAATCTAAGATATTAATTCATATTTTCATTATCATTAATCATTGTTCATTCGTTTCATTAAAATATTGAATCATTTTAAACATTCCAAACTATAAATGTAAATGTTTGCTTTTCTCTTTTTTTTCTTTTTTCTTTTCTCTTCTGCTTTTTTGTTTCTAACACGATAAAAAAACTACAATTTATGCTTGAAATAAGCTGTTATCATGTAAATGAAAAAGAATTCCCTTTTGTTGTTGTTGTTTTAATCACTAAGTATGTGTGATAATTTCATGTTTGTGTTAAAGGTTCGCCAAATTTAAATTAAAAAAAAAATCCTATTACATATTTATAATATTTATTATCACATGTATCTAACATAGTAATTGTTAATGCTAAGTGGTGATCAGGTGCAAAGTTGATTTCTTCTTCTTATTGAATATTTATTCGATAAACCTTGTATTTGAAAGAATTACACTTAGTAAATGATACTGATTGATTACTAGACAAAAGTAAATAATAAGCCTCATCAAAATAAGCACATCTATATATGTTGTTTTTATATGTTCCTATGTCGACTTATTCCAACTTGTATTGTTTATTTATTTATTTATTTTAACACAAAGATGTTGGTACAAGGAGGCATCAAATACATATGCGCCAAACAAATCTCATTCGATATGTGTGAGGGCTGTGATACTGCGCGGGTGCCCAAACCGAAGCAAGTGGCTTTCTTAGGGGGTCACTCCCCGAGCCTTCGACCTGAAGGTCTGATCCGCAAGGCAGTGGAGCATCGTAAGCAGATGCAGTCCCATGGAAGCCGGTGACCAACAATTGGTTCATACGCTATTTGTTCCCTCAGGATACTGGAGCTCATGTGCACCATTGATTTGGTTTGGGATCCGGTTAAAGCGCCGGACATTCGCTTTTCGTCCTCTCAATTTCGTAAACAACACCCCTGCCACGAGAAGGCAGTGAGTAGGACTTCCCTGGCAGACTATATACGCGTGTCCATGTGAGAGTAGTTCGAGAGAGAGCGGACTCTCCTCACTCTCGGCCGTACCAGGGCATTTGGGGGCATGACAACATATAGATTTTATAATTGTTTATGGATATCATATTTATACAAGTTATTTTGATAATAAGAAATCAGGTGAGTTTACTAAAATCAGATCTACTGTCCGATTTAGTATCAGTTATTTTAAATAAAAGTTTGTCATTAATATAACGTAATAAATGAATTCGATAATGATGTATGAATCTCACTTCAGATTGGTCAATTCGTAAGAGAAAATAGTTTTTTGAAAGACTTGGAAAAGGAAATTTGATAAGAAGTGGTCTTGATGACTTGAAAGATTGCTCTTAGTACTCAAAGGACAATTGCTTAAGGTTGATCAAATATAGCATTTCTTGGAGCAGTTTTAGATTAGCAGGCCTTGTAATTTCATGTTTTTACCGTGTTACAAGTTGAGTTATGCTATTTTTAAGCATTGGTTATATATATATGCTAGAAACAGGTCAGAGGTCAAAAAATGGTTAATTCAGGTTGGGTGGTATAATAGTTTAGTGAAGTTCATAAATTGTGTGATAATCAGAGAGATTAATGGAATTGAATAATGATAAGATCTTAGACTTCATGCATCATACTTTTAAGAATGATAGATGTTCGCTCAATGTCGTGAATGGATTAAATTTAGATAATATATATACATCACTGAACGCTTGTTTTATGATCTGGAAGTAAAGCGTTCTCGCGCAAAATTGATTGTTTTTGTATTAGATTCTCAAATGTATGGTTATGGATGCAAATTACTGACGAGTGTCATATTATGATGAAATAGTCTTTTTTCATACTTCCTTCATGCTAATATTAATCTGAATTCAATTAATGAATTAATTCTATATTCTTCACAAATTCTTCTATATTAAACTTTTTACTTATGAATTTAGATTTTTGAGAATCATTGAGATAAGTTGACGATAAGATTATATAATAAATATAGTTTATAGGCTCATTTTAATGGACTTTTTCTGTAAAATAAATATAGATATAATATAACTAATGTGTAACTAAGTGGTAATACATAGATTTCATCTAAGTTATTTGTATGTATATAAGCAAACCCAATATATATATACCTATTTCATTAATTAGGATAAATAGATAGATAGATAGATGATTTATAAATGGGACTGATGTATAAAAAACACTATCAATTGTTATATTGTGTCATTCTTTTCTCCTTTTTTCCCACTTAATTTTTCCCATTATATAACTTGAAAACATGTAATCACTCTCATTATTTATTGGTTATGATATATTAATACTAAATGTTTATGAGATTATTGTTTATGAAAATACATTGAATAATGTAAAGCCTCTATTGTAATTCATTATGTCTACCCTCTACTGATTAAGATAATTGAGTAGTAATATTCAAAGAAAGTAAAATAATTAACAAAACTTATTCAATCTATATTAGTGGTAAACAATAAACAAGATAATGGTTTTGTTTTGTTTTGTTTTAAAGAAAAAACTTATTTACTAGTCATTAATAGTTCAGACTTGATTATCAGATTAACTTTTCACTAAATATATATATTTTTGTAAGAATTATAATATGAGGCTTTCGACATTTGAATAAAATAGTTCTTTAGTCTTGTAGGTTTACAGTTATACATCAACTGATATCTAACGAAAAATAAAGGGAATTCAGCAGTGTAATTGTATGGTAAGTATCTGTTTATAGAAGAATAGAAAAGATTGCATCATAAAGAGATTCAAGACACCAACTATCTAATGAGGTTATGTCATAATCAAGGTATTAGAGAAGAATAGAAGGATGAAAATAATTAATGGATCAGGATTATGAAGGATAATTGTGTTGCGAAACGTTAGATACCCAGAACTCACTTGAAAAAAGACCTAATTTTGCAATTTTATTTTGAAAATTTGAATTTCTTTGTTTTATTGCTAAAAGCGCTCTTTTCACCTTCATATCGTATTACCCACTTGGGAGAATCTTAAATTCCATTGGTCCGTTGTGTCTTTTAGTATGCCATTTTGTAACTCTCCTGAAGAACGGTTTTGTGCTGTATATATACGTTTTGATTTGCGCCTGTTGTTATCGCTCGTGCTTCTGGTTGTTTGCGGAATATACTTCCCCATTTCAAGCTTGGACTTCTTCCTCTAGTTAGTGGGGCTGGGACTCATCGAATAGCTAGTTTATTGGTCTTTTGTCACTGAGTTTTTGTTCCGTTCGTAGACTAGGTGAACTCGTAACCGCTTCAAACCTTGCGAATTGTCCGCTTGACAGAAACTAAAAAAAAAACGAAAAACATAAAAGTAATAATAATAATCATGAAAATTTGCTAAAGGATAATAATAATAATGATTGATCGCAGTTCAAATTTACAAAACACGGATTAGAAAACAAAGGATAAGAGATTGGATGTATCGTTTTTGAATACAAAATGAATGATTTCGTCGAAAGGAAAATTTTCTTCGTTGAAAACTCTTCATTTTGTATTCAATAACATAATAGGTTATTTTAATTATCTGATATTCATCTGTGACGAAAATGAACTTCCACTTGAACAGATCTTCATGTAGATGATCAACTAAATGGAAAATGATAAATTCATCATGATCATTGAAATTGAGAGAAAAGCATTTTATAATTATGATGTATGGAGTTTAAGATTAGTGGATTATTATTCAAGAGAAATAAAAGTGTGCTTAAGATATTCGTCAACTAAATATCATATATATGTATATATACCGTTTGAATTGAAGTGAATGGGTCACCATTCTTAACCTTAATCAATGGACCATATGGCATGATGATCAATGTTCTGTCATGCAGTAAAATGTGAAACACCCTCCAAGCTCATTAAATTATATATCTATATACTTTACTACTCATAAGCTTTTAAGAGTAGTTTAGCTGGTTTTCATTAATTTTATATATTTGTTTATATGATCATGTTTATTTAGACTTAATTAATTTTTCATTTTAACATTGAATAGTCATTTGTACTTGTTGTATCTAAGGTCGATTTGATTTCTCAACAGTTCTTATATGGGATATGCAATATTCACTGGATAATAGTTATCATTTACTAAGTAACACTGTTTCGATATGATATATTGTTTACTAGGTGAAATAGTGTGTATTCAGAATCATAATAACTGTTATATCCTTATTTTACCTTAATTTATTTAAATCCAGTTCGAGATTCGATGACTGTCAATCTGCTTTACAAAATTTGATTCATATCACCGCCGGACCACTTGTCATCTTTTCAAGTTCATCTAATCTAGGCCAAATTACAATTTGGTCAACTCAAGCTTTAACTGGACTATTGAAAGCAACATTTATTTATTATCCAAATTTATGCGTGAATTATGAACAAAATGTTTGGATGGAAAGATTGTTGTTGTTTTCTCATGTTATTCATGTAAGTATTTTATATAGTAGTATGGTATAGTATATATATAAGGGTACATTATTTAAAGAGATGTAATTCATATTTTGTTTTGATTGGACGTTTACCACAAGGGTGTTGAAAATGTTAATCATATAGTTTTTTTTTCGTTTTCCAATCCAAATTTAATTGTGCTGTGTTTCTCCGTGAATTTCGTAATCAGATTGTGGGTACCGGTAAGAGTGGGTGATTAGCCCGATCTCCACCACTCGAGTTACCGCTCACGTTAGTTCATGAGTCATTCATCCTACTATCCAGGAGGCACGATGCGGACATGTAACACACGGAGTTGCTCTTCAAAGAATAAACTCCAACGGATTGCAAAAACAGCTTTTCTAGCCCCGGTAGTTGCGCCGTGTTTCGATGTTGCCTGTTTCTCACCAGAAGGACGTACTAAGCTTCACCAACTTGTTTGACTGTAAGGGGCAATCATATGATACAAACAAAACACCTAACGAAAACTTACTATTTTAGATTACAGTATTGTCGTCAGAGTACATGCCCTAATAATTATCCGTTTTATAACCAAATGGTTTCGTTTAAGTAGTCGTGTAAGACGAACATAAGTACACTAAGAAAGTGGCATAACTATTGACTCATTAGCGTTTTGGATTGATTTTGTGTTCGCAAATATTTATCCCACTTATCAACGGTGATTGGTAACATCTTGTTTTAAACTATAGTCATGAAAGTAGACTGGGTGCTTAATGACACCAATTCCCAAGGCAGATTATAAGGTTCTTTACGGTTCTATTGCTTTTTTCTAATCCCTGCTCTTAATCTGCAAACAATGAATAAAATGATCATTTTCATCATTTTTTATCAGTTAATAAATTGTTACAAACTCAGTAACTCTAGATAACTGGTTAGTTTTAGGTTCAATCAACAATACGTATTCAAGGTTTAAGATAGGACAAATTCCAGTACTTAGATAATCTTACTTACTTAAACCTGTTACTCCTCGTGGAGCGTAGATTGTCCACCAGGATTCCCCATCGAATTCCGTCTTAGGTAATCCTTTATGGTTGTTTCCAGTCGCCATTCATTCTTTTGATGTCTGCTTTTAATTCCCTACCATATGTTCTTTGGTCTTCGTCTTTTTCTTTTTCCTTCAGGATTTCATGTCAGGGCTTGCTTCGTGATACAGTTTGATGATTTCCATGATGTATGTCCTATCCACCTCCAGCGTCGTCCCCTAATTTCCTCTTCAACTCTGCCTTTAGCTCTCCTAGGATTACTGCCGGTCCCTTGTATTGTTAAATGAGGAAGGTTGGGTATGGGGTCAGCAACCCCATTCCGTGGAAAACGGCCCTGCTAAAAAAACACTAATCGGGGTAAGCAACTTTGATAATTTTACCCAACGTGATTCCAGTAAGATGGGAAAAAAACTAAGTAGAAACTAATGAAATGCATAGGAAACCAGAGTCATAACAATAAATAAAGAATTTACATACTGTTTATATACACACATATCTGGCTTTATATCGCTCATAGCTAATGCTTATGCAATACAGATTAGATCTATCCGTATATCTTTCAGCAGAATATGAATTTGTCCTCTCAAAGAAGCTGTTGGTTACATATTAGGCACTTTCCAGCTCTTTCTTTTCAATGATGATGAATTTTTCGTTTACACTAGAGATACACATTTTCGTCTTGATCACTCATCAGACTAAGACTTTCAGTGGCCTTATACCTGTCAATGGTGATTGATGAATTTTTGTGGAGCTTCTTTCGTCTTTATTATTGAATTGAAAATATGTTGTTAAGTGAAAATCTATAAGTGGCGAGACGATAATTCATGGACGAACCAATCAGATATAAGATAACGAGTAGTGAATTTTGGCGCGAAATTCATTCATATATTTGACTAAATAGAGCTTTGGCATTATAGCTGACATCAGTTCGTGATGAAAATCCTATATCTAACTTTTAATCTTGACCATCAACCGTAAATCAAAATTCTAGCTGGTTTATAATTCTCATTTAGTCTTCATCAGTAGATGTCCATTCTTAAGATCACTTCAGCTTCGCTCAAAGGTCATCCATAAATTATAGCCTCACCCCATAAGTTCTAGTGAATTTCGGTGTTGTAGCTTTGTATGTTTTAAATTACTTTGATTCTTTTGACTGAATGATAGTGTTGTAATGTGTGAAAATCCTGTAATCAAAATACAAAATTTTTTTCAAATACGATACTATTACTAATAACAATATAAGCAATGAATTGAGAAACCTCAATTCGTGAAGTTCCTACTATGGACACTGTGATGCAATTTATAACCAGAAATGAAATACTTCTAACAATAGTTACATATACGATTTCTCTACAGAAATACACAATAAACTAAGTGATAGTTAGTTGCAGTGTCAATAACACAATGGCAATAAACAATCGAAATGAGTATTATGCATACAAATTATCAAAATTAGTACAAACAAAGTTACTGTTTAATATGAAGATAAATACAGTCAACATAAAAATAAATTGGCTGTTATAGGTTGATGTAAATATTTAGATATACAACGGAACAACGAAGAGATATTGTAAAAATGTTTTCTCCAAAATGGTCGATAATAAATTAGTTACTGAATATTAGTAAGTAGTATTATGACGTGCACTAAAAACAGAGTGAGAGAGAACTAACAGATCGTGTTAGCGCATTTGACAGTACTATTGGGTAGCATTAGGTATATGGTGTTCTTCTCTGACTTTATTTCATTGAAAGCAAATAAAGCGGTAACATCAAAAACTACTAATAATTCGTAATTCTTGATATCATTATCTTTCATCCTATATTTTATATCAGGTTCTTCATAGATTACTACCTAAAGTCTTCCTAGTTGAATCGTCTAATTTCGGCACATATGAATTATTGAAACAGTTAAGCAAACACATTAATGATGCTGACGACTCTCTCAATTTGGATATTTTATCATCACATTTGAATCTTTTAACAATAATTCTAATGAGATTGCCATCAGTACAAGTGCTGTTATCCTCAACAACAACATCATCATCGGATGATAAAATTAGAATACAAGAAGTGGATAAATTTCTTGCCATAATACAATATGGATTCATGAATTTATTTTTGGCTGTCGGGAAAGTTTGGTTGTGTCCTGCATGCACAAATAATTTAATGTAAGTTTTAATGAGCAAGAGGTTAATTTTATTGACTAATTCAATACTACCTCATAAAAAATTATTTACAAGTCAACAAAAATGGGAGATAATTATCCACTGAAATTGAAATCAAACACAAAGGTCATAATGGTTATTGAATAATGATCATTAAAAATATCAGAAGGTAATGATAACTACTTACAGCTTTAAAAAGTATAAAATAATAAGAATAAGAATAAGAACTTAACATGCCTAGGAAGGGAATCAGGTGAAAGGAAGGATGAGAGATTGAATGTATCGCTTTAGTATGCAGAGTTCTGGCTTGAATTGATGAATCACAAACGTGTTAGTAGTAGATAGATTTTTCATTCGACCTTCATTTGTTCCAATTCTTTTGACCGTAAAGATTATTTTAAAGGACAACGCTGAAGTAACTTTCCCCGAGTTGATCATGTGCTACTGTATTGAAATAGTGATAATCTCTCATTCCGTCCTTTAGAAATGTTTTGAGATGCATCTTTAAAGTATTCGCTTTGTGCGGTCAATGTAACCTCCACTACAAGGGCAAATTAATTTAAAGATATGGACAATTATCTCTCATATTTCTGACCTGTAAATTATTTTCATTAATCTATTCTTCTTTCAACCACCGGATCAATGCTACTTAATTTTTGTTTGATTTTATCATTTTGATTATTGTTCTGGACTGTTTCTCTTATTTGAATATTTCATTTATTGTGAGCATTATTATTTCTACATGTTATCATAATGCTGTTGAACACCCGCCTTGATTCATATCTATTAGCTAATAAATAATTAGAACGGTTAGTATTTGATTATGTGTTTCCGTCAATATTTATGTATATGTATTAGGGAGACCCAGGATATTTTTTCAAAAACGCTCGGAGGGGGCCCTGAAAACACTGGAAAACATTTTATACAATAAGCATTGAACTGAATTTTTAGTTGGGAAACGTCTAGAAAGTGAAGAATCACCTGTCACATTTCTGACTGGATGATTACTTGTCCTGCTACTATGTTTAGTAGGGTTCCAGAACCTTCTAGAGGTCCAAGGCCATCGGAAATGTCATAGGTACCCTCAATTTGCTGTGCATAAACTAAGCTTGGAGTAAGGCGTTCTTTGTCATATTTTGCGCCTTTTCTCTCGTATTCAAATTGTCGTGTAGAGTTAACCTGGGATTTATCAGAAGAGCTTAGGAAATCGATTTGATCGTTCAGTCAGATTTATCATATATATATATATAGTTTAAAGTTTTGTTTATTAGTAACTCACAGCTTACGTTTCATAGATATTCGTGATGTGTATTACATAATTTCAAAATCTCAATATTCCTCTGGTGTATGGTAATAAGCCCGTACTCACTAGTGGCTACTTTCGAGAGGTAATTCCTGGAGTTCTAGCACGAAGCTTGAGTAGTAGTTTTCAATCATCCCAAGTGAGTAAGCTACCCACTAGTGACAATGAGTAATGGTCGTGCGATCGTGTGAATTGACTGATGTTAGAAATGCGAATCATTGAAAGTCAGCTTACTGGTCTATAGGCTAAGAACTCATAAGGAGGCCTGTAGAGATCCCCCTTGGAAATCTTACACTAAAATGAAACAATCATTGTTTAGATGTGGTCAGTTCCTGATATTATATTGAGAATTAAATATGTTACTGAAATCATGCTTCTGATATATGTCAAACTTGTTAGAGAAAATCAGCTTATCATATCATTTAAATTATACTTCAATGTTCTTCAAATTATTGATTGTAGAATATATAGGAAAAGAATGAGTATATGATTGATAGATTATTACGAACAACACATATAAGCGAACAATATTGTTTTCAATTAGATCGTCATCAGGCTTTACTCTAATATACATGGATATTTATACGAAAATTTTAAACCAATCAAGGCAATATGGGTCAATAATCACAATGAAATCGAATAAGTCTCTACACATAATAGGTAAAAGCACAAGTTGATAGTAGGAAGACAGGTGAACTGATAATAGTGAGAATAATAAAATACGATAACAAAAGTCTTATCAATAGTTAAACGTTGGAAATAGAAGGTCAAACAAACATGGGTAAATAGACTAGGAATAGTAATCACAAAACATTAAAATCATTACATAATAAGAAGTGTGTAAATAATTCGATAGTGAAGAATACAAAGAGGCGGAAAATTACAAACAAATAATGGATGTGGAAATAAGGCTAATGTATGGAAGGGATAGAGGGGTCACGAATTTCTTCTGTACACATAGATTGGCGTTATATATACGAATTCCTATGGCTTCAGCTATATGTAGGAGGCGAGAACGAACTCCGTCGGGAAATGATGGAGGTATACGATAGATCGCTCAAAATGATTTCGATTTATCTACTGCATGACCGCTATCAATAAGATGTGCCAATATAGGACCGCGAATAGATTTTCTCTGGCCCTTTATGTACCAAGTTGGTAAATGTTCACTCATTCGTTGGTTAAGTTGCCTGGTAGTACGCCCTATATAGCTATCTCCACAGGAGCAGCTGAATTTGTAAATGCACATGGAAGAGGCCAACTCAGGTAACTTATCCTTCGTTTGAGTAGACATCGCTGGTCGACAAGAGAAGGTCAACGCAAGATTGGCTGCGTAGAATGTCCTGGTGATTTCTTTGGTTAATCTATATTTCAGAGTGTCACTAGCCACATCCCCGTTGAATTGCACTTTCATGTATAAAGGTTTCTTACGAACAGTCGAAATCTCCGACTTCTTTATTATATCCTGCATGTACTTCTTAATGAACGCGCTGGGGTAGCCGATCTCGGTCAGTGAGTTGTTGATAAATTCAAGCTCCTGACTTAGAGTGTCTACTGTACAGATCTTTTTTGCTCTGCTCGTGAGACATCTGATCAAATTTCTCTTGTAACGGATGGGTGTGAAACTGCAGAAATGAGTATATTGGCATGAAGAGGGGTTTCTTATTATGAGTATATGATCCATAAACAGATAAATGTAAGAAGAAAACAAAAACATCAATAAACTATTATAGAGAAGTATGTATTTATATTTCAACCTACTTCTATTCATTTTATTATAGTGTGGATAAATGATTAGATGAAGTTATCACTCAGATTAATATTTCAATGTTTATTCAATAAAGTATATAAAACTATTCACTTATTTTAAGTAATCAAATTGAATGGAAATACACCACTCAGTGATGTATTTGTAAGCTATGTGGTTGTTTTGGAGTGTAATATTACATATACAATTGAATGTTGTAATGAGAATCTAATGGATATCAATATTATTGAAACCCTTTTAATTAAGTAGCTTAGACGTTTGAGTTTTTGTCTTTTATTCATTGAATATTGGTTTTGAATGTTGCTTCGCCCAATTCGACTTCAGTAATCAACTTACAAAACATATAGGGACATAGTACAGGAAGGAAGAATTAGTTCGTAGAAAGAAAGATATGAAGCGATTTTAATATAGTATATAGACCAACGCCATTGTGATGGATTCTGAGCCATGTCACACAGAGTCTCCAACCATTGGTTACAATAGTCATGCGGACCCCAGCCAAGTAGTCTGCATCTACCATCATTGCTTAGACTAGAAGTTAGTGACTTTGTGGACTGGTGCCACGTTTTGGTTTGGCCACCCCTAACTTTCTTCCAACCATCCTCTACACTAGTGAGCATTGCGCGTCATGGTAATCGGTGTTGAGGTATACGTAACATGCGGCTCACCCATCTTAGTCTGTGAAGATTCACAACCTGATCAACTGATTAACCATCATTCCCTAATACTATGCGTCGAACCTCACTATTACTTACCGGGTGATCCCAGCAGATGCGAAGAATATTTCTAAGACATCTGTCTTTAAATACTAGTAGCTTACGAGTATCGTCTACTCTAAATGGCCATGTTTCGCAGCCGTAAAGTAGAAAAGAACGAACTGCCACTCAGTATACTCGTTCTTTAATTGATAGACGGATATTCCATCTTCGTCATAAATGCTAATGTAAGTTGGCAAAATTCAAACAAGTTTTTCCAATCCATACAGAGATTTCTTGAAACATTAACCCGAATAAAGCTGATCAAATATTGATCAACTTAAAATATAATCTAATCAGTTTGTGTTATTGATTCCAGCTAAAATAACAAAACCAGTTTTTGTTTCTTCTTTTCTTTCTTTCTATTGTAGAGATCAAAGTGTTTTCGATTTTCTTAATCAAGATCAACCAATTACTGATGATCCATTTTTAAAAACAAAAAACTGTACACCCAATTCTTCTTATGATCTATTATTATTTCTTTATGATTTATTAAAATTATTATTTAATTTAATTAAAATTTCTTATTTAAAATTTTATTTTCATAAAATTCATTTCAATCTTATTCAATGTTTATTATATTTAGGCAAATGTTTATATTATTGTTGTTGTTGTTGTTCGAATTTAGATTATCCATCATTGATATCACAATGTATATTCTATATCATACGTATTATTGGTTGTATATGTTATGATCATGATCATCATGATCGTGATCATGATAGAATTGAGATCAGATCATCTTTCATTAATTCTGTTTTATTGTCTAATCAATTATTCAATAATTTTTTATTACTTATTCATTGGTATTATCAATCTAGATGTTCATGGTCTATATGTGGTATTGAATTATGTTGGTGTTTAACTAATTTTATACAATATTTCAATATACCATTATTTCAACAACAGCAACAACAACAACAATCTAATCATCAAATGTTAGATCATTTTATTGATCATTTTCTATTTAAAGTATTCACTTTAGAATTAGGTACTAAGGAAGTAATGCGTTTATTATATATTAGTATGAATATTATGAATAATAATAATGATAATAATAATAATAATAATAATAATAATAATAATAATAATAATAATAATAATAATAATGGTATATGTGATCCTGATAGAGATCATTTCTATTGGATCAAGATCTTAAACTCATTAAATGATCATTTAAAATCTCAATTGATTTATTGGAAATATTTAAAACAAAATTTACCAATGTGTTATATTGAAACATTTATAGGTTTGTTTAAATTCTTGTCACTTATAAACATGAATAATAATAATAATGATAGAGTATTGCAAGAATATATTAAGAACAATTGTCCTATATTATATAAACTATCTATTATATGTAATGAAACATTGACAAGTATGTCATTATTATTACCTTCAATATCATTGGAATTATTGACAATGGAAGAAATTAGAGAAATTTTATATTCTATGAATTCTAGCACAGATATTATATCATATATCATGTCAGTTCTTGATTATATATGAGATTGTTTGTGTTTTGTTTACTTGTACAATAGTTAATTTTGTGTGTAAATATAAATGTATACAAGTATGTGGATAATGTTTATTCATTTGAACACATAAATATTGGTACAAACGAGGGGGCGGGATACCAGATATATTATGCGCCACATAATAATAATGAGAATGAGAAGAGATAAAGAATGTAAGGTGTGTGTAAAAAGAAAACAATAAACACTACAAATTAGTGTATGGTAGTGAAATAATAATAGGGCAAACAGAAAGATACAAACGAAAAGAATTCCAGTTAAAGAAGTTACGGTCACTTTTTATGAAGAAAGTAAAAGAGGGTTACAGCAGGATCGCCATCGGCTCCTATTCTGAGACGTATCTGATAATGTCTCTAGCCACAATGTTGCACCATCTCTAGGACCTCAACCAGGGAGTCGTGAAGGATCAACAGAAGCTAGTCCTGTGCAACTTTCTCTCATACCATGACATACACTGACCACCACTCCGCTTTTTCTAACCGGTTCCATTGTCGGCAAATAATCCACGATGAGGAATTCTGTGGGACGGCATTCGTAGAACATGTCCAAGCCACCGAAGTCGATGTTTCAAGATGGTGACACCAATTGCATTAACGTCTCTGTGACCGAACACACGATGCCGAACCTCTGCATTACTGACATGGTGTTGCCACTGGATGTCAGCGATCCTGTGGAGACTGCGGTGATCAAATACAGAGTCGTCTAATGTCCTCAACTCGGAGAGGCCAGGTTTCACAAGCATAGAGCAAAACTGCTCTCACCGACACTTTGTAGGTCCGACCTTTTACAGCCAGACTAACATTACGAAGGCTCCAAAGATGGCCCAGATTGACATAAGCAGCTCTGGCTTTCATCACACGTGAATCGATCTCATCATTCACGCCACCACCAGCACTTATTCTGGTACCCAGATACAGAAACTCGACTACTTCTATCTGCTCAATACTATTCCCACTTCAATGTAGAGAATGAACGTTGAATAAATAATAGGATTGTAATGATACTAATTAGTCATAAATGATACATCTGTTTGTTTCTTCTTAAAAATGACAATATCGTTTGTCTTTCGGTTGGCTGACCGAATGTACGATATCGGATAATATAGTTTTTGCGTACAAACAAAACATTCATTCCTATTGACTCTTCCCATTGATCCATAGGACTGCAATAGAGCAGTCACTTTTGGTATATTTGTGGATTACCTCAATGTTGTCAGTGAGTTACAAACATTTTAATGAGATGAATGGTAGCTATCAGTGGACTCAAGGACACACATTTCGTTCTATTTAGAACTCGTCAGATGAATGTACCTGCATCGTAGAGTTGATGTTTTCTCCGAGATTCACACCCAGTACCGTTCGCTCCAATTCCTAATGTATTTTTCATATACAACCAAAACAAAAGGATTAAAATTCATCTCGTTGAACGAATCAGTGACTATTACCTGGATAGGTACATCCTTCTGATAAGTCCTAAATAGGGCGAAACACCCGTCCTTGATCTCACTGTCAGCCAACATCCATTTCTGTTTAAAACAAACCACTACTTTGAGATCGGATATTATGGGAATGTATTATTAGTTGCAATTACTATGATTTAGTGACATGTCGATACACTATCGAGTGATTTAAGTCGTAACCTTTCAAATATTGGAAACTTCTCTACAAATCAAGCTTTCTGAGGTATGACAAACTTTTTATATTGGTGGTCGTACCACCCACTTCATTTATTAAACGAGACAACTTTTATATTTGAACAAACACACAATGAAATATCATAATACCTTTTTGAAAAATGATCCGAAGGAACATTCCTGTCAGTTTTTGAAACTAAAACAAATTTTTAAGTGAATGAAACTTCATCATCTTGAAACTGATAACTTTAAATGAATTCACGTCGAATGAAATCTTTAAATGGTTATAAGATTATAATTTTAGCAGCTAACTTTCAAATAGATGGAACTGTAATGAGGTCTCCACTGGGTCCTATCTTAGCAGACTGTTTCATATCTAAGCTAGAAAACAACTAACTTAGATCGGCCATCAATTATCAGTTCACTTACTCTTGTGAAGCAAGGTACATTGTACGTAGTCAGCGCTTGCTGTCTCAAATACAAGAACATATCCCAGTGTGGCACTGCCAGGATGAGAGCAAAGCAGTTAGAAGTTGCACTTGTCAACATTTAATTAATCCCAACCAATCCATTGATCTACAAATTAATTTTAAAGTGGCTTATAGGATTCGATTAGTTCTACCAAGATTTCTTCGTATCCAACTACTCAAAACAACAAAAGCTCTTGCCACCCATGACATGAAGCCAGAACTGTGCGTACAAAAGAAGTATGTCTTATCATTATCTTTGCCATAGCCTTAAAGTAATATCAATATTAGACAGAAGTGGATGACGGCTAGCAGTGTAATCAAGGACGCAAGTTTATTCATATCTGGAACCCATCATCTGGATAAATTAGATGAAGTTATCACTCAGATCAATATTTCAATGTTTATTCAATAAAGTATATAAAACTATTCACTTATTTTAAGTAATCAAATTAGATGGAAATACACCACTCAGTGATGTATTTGTAAGCTATGCTAAGATATACCACTGACATTTTCTTCGTACTATATAACTAATTTTGTGTTTCTTTAAAAATCTCCATTATGTGATCAGACCGGTTGAATGTACAGTATTAAGATTGAATAAATCGTATTTCGATTGACGAATAAATTACGTGATAAAAAGCTGTATTTAAAGTCACAACATTAATGTAATTTTGTTCTCTGAGATGGATGGTTTGGTCGTGGAACTTTCATCGTTCTTCTGAACGACATCATCAGCACAAACTTCAGATAGAAGTGAAGTGTTCGAATTTCTTTACATGTGGTTCACAGCTTGTCCTGTACACCTCGATGTTGACTTGATCTTGCTGACCTTAAACCTGTCATTGTTTTCTTCTTTATTTTGGTTCTATCTCCCATTAGTTTGATTTTTGTTCCTATGTTTGTTCATAATTTTCCTGGCTAGTTGATAAATTAGATCGATTTCAATGTGCTTGTTGATTGCTGATTGACCTGAGTGCAAGGCTTCTAAAAATTCTCTAGTATTTTTGGAATTTCCTCTGTTCAAGATTTCAACATTTTCCCAGTCAAATGAGTGTCCGCAGTTGTCCACATGTATTGATATAACTATCATGGCGTTTGACTGCTAACTGATGTTCATGTAGGCGAAGATGAAAGGGGCGTTCACTTTGTCCGATAGTGTTTTTCGAAGTTGGCACAATTTATTTTGTAGATGATGTTTGATCTGTCTTCCTTCGTTATTTCATCCTTTGGTTTGTATAGGATTGATTGTAGTGATTTTGTCGGTTTGTGTGCCCGAAGGTTTTCAGCAATATCGTTGCGGTTTCAGATATGCCTTTTATGTATGATAGGGCGATCCTTTTGTTCATTTCTGTGCTTGACTTAGGTTGTGATGCTGCATGCGGTTGGTATTTTTTGATGAAGTTGATTGGGTAGCCGTCCTTTTGAAATACGTTTTTCAGGTATCTCTTCATTTTTTCGTGCTGCCAGTGTGCTGCATAAAAATTATGCACAAATATAGGGACGAAAATCAAACCAAAGGGAAACACAACCAAAACAAAGAAGTAAACAATGACAAAATTAAGGTCAATAAGAACTAATCAACGTTCGAGGTGTACAGAACTAGCTGTGAAATGCATATGGAGAAATTTGAACACTTCACTTCTATCTGAAGTTTGTGCTGATAATGTCGTTCAGAAGAACGATGAAAGCTCCACGACCAAACCATCCATCTCAGAGAACAAAACTCCATCAAAATCATCCACTTGAGCTACAAATCTTCTCCACCATCTCATAATGTAATTTATTGGACTGAAGAAACAAAAGAAAAGCGTTTATATTATAACAATCTATTTTCTTTTAAAACACTTTCTTCATGATAGACAATACATAATTGTAAAGTGAATATACACTTTTCTTCTCTATTGATTGTTGTTTTGAATATGAATCTGATAATAAAGTACCATATATATATGGAAGAAATAAAAAAGAAACATTAACATCGCTAACACTGTATATCCTTGACAATTATTGACTATAATTCACAATCAGTAATAATCACCATATCAACAAAATGTTTATCAAACGAGAACAGTAATCTGTATTTTGTATAAGACAATAATAATAATAATAGTAATAATGACAACAATTGATCATTAATACAACTACACAATAAAGAAATATCTATTCACATCAAGATGAATTAATGAACTCGAATTGACAACAAAAAAGAAAACATTTCAGTAAGCCATTCATTTCCTACAAATCTTTTATATAAAATCAAATTTTTAAAAAAAAACAACTGAACAGAGTAATGAGAATAAGGAACATTCTTTCATTATATTGTAATATCATTAGAATAGTTTTAAATTAAGAAAAAAAATGTCTAAGAGAAACAAAGAAGAAATGAAAGTTTCTTAGATAGTTTGCAACAAAAAAAAGGAATCGAAGAGAAAAATTCTGTAATCTATGAGTGATGGGGAATTATTCCATGAAGTTTATGATGGAAATAGAATTAAAAGTAGGTAGACATCTATTTTACAATGAAAAAACAAAGAAACTTATAAATTCACAGCAGATTATGGAGTACCATAAATATTGATAATAAAGAATAACAATGCAAAAGAACCGGGACAACAAATATAGTCAGTATTACTTCCCATCAATAGATAGTTAATGACATGTGATTTTTGTATACGATTTGTGTTAATCAAAAAGAATATTCATTTTCTTTCTAAATTAAGATAACACGAAACCAACGGGAACTAAATAGACGAACAAAAAAACAGAATACTTTCGCAAAGCAAGTTATACTACTTTCTAAATAAACAGTAGTAACAGTGCATTCAGTAGAAAAATACCATCATCTTATTCTCGAAGCTATAGACTTGCGCTTACCACAGATGTAAGAAAGATATTACACTGAATACAAATGTTCCATTTACATAACACAGTACATGTATGC